TGTGTGTGTGTGTGTGTGTGTGTGTGTGTGTGTGTGTGTTAATTTTTGTGCTGTGTAATATCTTAAAAGTCTATAAACTACAGCTCCATACACACGTACTGGCCAAATGGCCAGTACAATATAATGATCTCATTATATTACAAAAATATAATGACAAGACGATTGTGTTGTGACAATAATAGGAGAAGATTTCCAATAAACGCTTGAGAGGCTGGAGTCAGAATACCATGAATACAAGCCGCAGTGGAGCCCAATAATTGGATCCATTCACAGGTCGGCCGCAGCCCCGTGTTTAGAGTGCTTCACGGCGGGCAGCAGCTCTCCACACTGGCCATGTGGTGTCCCGCAGCGGCCTTTATATTCTTCCATCAACATCATCATCATCCCAGCCTTCATCTTCCACTCGCTGTTCGGCTGTCAGCACATTTCTTTCGATCTTTTACCTGGCAAAGTCTTTAAAGGAAACACTTATTCTGAATATATTTATTTATTAAAGTTCTCCGACAGATTTGCCGTTTTCTTATCAAAGAACGTAGCTCACAGAATAATTTTGTTAATAATAAGTATCGAAAGGCAAACGTCTTCCTTCTTCAAAACGTGACTTTCTGGTTGAACAATGAAAGGTTAATATAGGTCTGGATAAACATGAAGAACAGGTCTAAATGACATATATTAATCATGCAGGCATATGTTTAAAGCCATAGGTTAAAGATTAGGATTGCTCATTTAGCATTTAATAATTCTGTCTTTAATAACACTCTAGCTGGTTAAATAACTCTTAAGCCCTGAGTTGAAATTTCAAATTAGATTAGATATATTTATAGAGTTCATATTGGTATTGTTAAAAAAATAGTGATCACCTTACAAGCCTGAATATGCTTTTTTGTTAAGGAAGTTTATATATATATATATATATATATATATATATATATATATATATATATATATATGGATATAAGGATGATGACAATACTTACATTTTAGGATTGAAAGTAAACACCTGCATATCTTTTTGGATAAATTTCAAAGACATTTGAAGGAACTGCAGATTCAGAGATATAACTGTTATGACGGTTTTAGGACTAATCACTTCAAATATTTGCTGTCGATATTTAAAGTGTCAGCACTGAACAAGAATTCTTAATCCAATTTATTTAAAAAATTACTAATGTCTGATAAAAACTTATTCTAGACCTTCCTTACAGTTTCTGTGCTTTATGGATCCCTACATAACTCTTTTTATATTAAACAAATAAAATCAGTGTGATTAATGTAAATAGTTTATTTTCTAAGAAGAAAATCAATAAAATGTACAAAATATGTGTATGTATGACCTTCTCTATGTGAATTTTGTGTGTAGCAACATGTTTATGATAAGTTCAGTCTTTTCTTTATTTGTAAAGGTTATATGATCAACGAAATGGTTATCTGTAACAATTACTATTTTACAATTAGAGGTGTAAGTCTATCTGTTTCGAGACAAATCATTTGGAAAAAAATTTTTTTTATAAAATAAGAAATAAACAGATCATTAGGATACGCACATCCATTGGAAAACATTAATGAACAAAATGCCTTTGTTTAAAAAAAGTTTTAAATCTAAAAAAAGAAATATTTTAGGATAATTAATTATGTTCTAATAAAATATATGAAACAAAAACTTGTATATTTTTTCCTGAGCCCTCTTTTTCTTTCCCTGTCCTCTGGGGTGTAGGTCTACCCAATTACTGTCTGCCGTCTGTCCGGGTTCAAGGAGCTCAGATACCTAATAAAACTCTTTAGGGGCCTTTTCTCTCCTGCCCCCATAAATATGAACTTCGTGTCATTACAAACATTAACGTGGGAAAATATATTCAGAGAAATAGATGCTTTTTTAAAGAAGAAACAACATAGAAAAAAAAAATCAGCTTAGCTAAATGAATACGTGAAGTCACACAGATTTAAAAAGGGATAAATGGGATTTGTTGTACATTATGTTCTCATAAAAATGTTTCTGTTTCTCTATATAATAATGTACATAATACTATAATATATTATAATATTGAAAGAGGAGCATGGTTTTGGAAACAAGACTGGGTCACACAAAAAGGAGTTATTCATGGCCAACATGACAAGATTCTCTCCTGTGAAGTGGTCCGATTAGAAAAATAAATACAGTTTTTAATGTTCAATTGTAACGTGATGACAGTCTTCATGTGTTCATTGCAAAAGGGATTATAACTCGTTGTCATTATGATCTTAACACTTGAAATCTGACATGCTTTAATCTCAGGCTCTTCCTGGTATTCTGATTTATTAAAGTCAGAATACCAGGAAGAGCCTGCAGTCACACTGCTTAGGGCTTTTCCTCTGCACATTATTAAATGAGGATTGCTTAATAACAGTGATTTAGCCAACCTAGAGTTCTTATATAATAAAGTATTTCTTTAAAGAACAATCATAATTAGCAGATTTTGCCTTTATCTAAGCAATGGCTAAATGTGGTAGCCTTCTTTCAGCCAGCAAGCTGGTGGTAGGGGAAGGGGGGGAAGAACGGCCCTTCATATATTCTAGCTAGAGATAGACAAAAATCCCTCCAGCAGTTTGTCTGGGTACTCTACCCGGCTCTCTATAGCAGATAACATATCCTGACTGACCTAAACTGTGGTGGCCCCTGGGTAAGGGCTCCAGGATTTGAAGGGTTACCTATGTTAACAAGTTTGACATGTTTCCAGTAGGAATGGCATTTAACACCTATAACCCAATGTTTAAAATCTAAAAGAAAATATTTAGATAATAGAATCTAAGAAGATTATTCATCTTCAAAATATCTTTGGTCACTGTTATTTGGGAGCTAAATGATATGGTTTCCAGAAATTTAAGACCATATTAGCAATTGATAACTTATTTTATAAGCTTTTATTTGGAAAATCTTATGAAGCAAAATTTAATAAAGCAGGGATCTTCTTTCGCATTTAGCCTTTAAATATCTAATTGTTAATTTTCCCCCATACATGTACAGATAAATAGAAGAGAATAGCTTTGTTCCCAATTCCAAATGTTTAAATATGATTTAAAGCCATGTTTTTAACATTCCAAGCTGTGAGACAACCCCTAAACCTACTTCTGAAAGAAGTTCTCCATTGAGGTAATCCACATCTGGCAAATTGCTCTCTTCCCTCCTCTTTCAGAGCATGAGAAGCCTACAGCGGTGATAGAAAACGGGGAGGTGAGGCTGAACGGGAAGGGGAAGAAGATAAGAAAGCCTCGGACCATCTACTCTAGCCTGCAGCTCCAGGCACTCAACCAGCGCTTCCAGCAGACACAGTACCTCGCCTTGCCTGAGAGGGCTGACCTTGCAGCCAAGTTAGGCCTGACACAAACCCAGGTAAGGCTCCAACACACACAGAAGCATGCATCAAAATAAGTAACCTGATACTTCATCTTTTTCAAAGAAGTACAGAGAAAGAATACTGTCTTGGATTGACTGCTCACATGAAGACAGAATACTGTATTTTGTAAAAAGGCTGTTATGCATTAGAAGATTTTATATCATTTCTGGTGTGAAGCTGCATCTATTGAGTTGGTTTAGCAGAAAGGACCACGCAAATAAAATCAAAAAGCTATATTAAAATGAGAACCCTAATGTTTCACGTATATATACATGTATATATATCTCTAATGCTATGCTCTCTCTGCTT